AAAAACTACAAACTAGTTTTCCTATTGTCACTTTTTTCCTTTATACATATTGTCTTTTTCTACAGATTAATTCTGTGAATTTTTACACACACACGCGCATATATATATATATATATATATATATTACATAGAATAGAAATTCAAATTTACCTCAGTCAAATAGCTATTCAAATGAGGCAAATTTGGATTTTATTCTATGTAATTTATATGCTCTGTTGTAATAAATACATAAAGCTCTTTTTGTTGATCAGTTTTAATATTTTATATTTTAATATTCACTTGGATTATATACCAATGGATTATTATTATTATAATATATATATATATATATATATATATATACACACGGTGGCATGGTGGAGTAATGGATAGCGGCTTGGATTGAGGAATCGCAGAGCCGAGTTCCAGTCGAATCCATTATGTTCACTTACATGCTAATACCCTTGGGAAAGGTATGAATCCTCTTCCTCTCCCTCCAGCTATGGGTAAAATGGCAGGATAGACTTGGTTCTATAGCCTTGGATGACAACTGGTCTAGGAGAAGGACAACTCTGAATTCTGCGGAGGGTCGTTTGGGAACCTTGTGGCATTCGGTGCACCAAATCTCTGTATTTGTCCCTTCAAAAAGTGTGGATGGTCCTGCACGAGGCCTTCACCGCTATAATCAAATAATGTGCCGGTGTTGGGCTGTCAGTTTCCTGGAAACTGATCTGCTTGACCTCATCCGTTGAATCTCGACGGGAGAGTCGATTATATATATATATATATATATATATATATATATATATATATATATATTGTAGCACCCTCTGTGCTCCTCAAGAAATATAACTCTACTTAGTTGTTCAAATATCTCCATACAAACCCTTTTTTTGACTTAATGGTATTTGCTTGTCCATTTCTTTTTCTTAAACTTGTCAAGTTGCTCTCCTCATTAAGCATTCAATTGATTTCAAGTGATTGTTGCCAACAGTTTCTTTGTACTTTCTGTTCTCCTTAGAACTTCCTTATTTGTCACATGTATTGTCCATGGCATTTTCAACATTCACTGGTTGCTTCAATTGTTTTTAATGATTGACTTGTTTTGTATGGTTTATCAACTATTTCCAGGTTTTTTGATAGCAAAAAATTTGGGTGGGGGGAGATAATGATTTAGTAATACAAGTCTTACTCATTAACCCATAGCTGGGGAGAGAAGAGGTGAATTCATATCTTTACTAAGGGTATTTGTATGTAAGTGAATATAATGAACCCAACTGAAGTTGGAATTCAGCTCTGATAACAATTCCAAGTTAATATCCATTATACCACCCACACATACATCCAAACTTTCAGTACCTGGTATTCCTCAGCAGTCACCCATCTAGGCACTGATCAGGCTCAATGTTGCCTAACTTTGTTGACTGCACAGGAATTGGTGTTTCAATGATATAGTTATGTAAGCCTTATGTCACTTTAACTTTTCCTTATCTGTGAAGAAATGGTTCAACATTCACTGCCATATTGGAGATTAGATATAACATTGCAGTTCGGCATACTTTTCTTCCTTGCTAATGTCATTCTTCAATTTCTTACATTGCTCAGTTTCTGAAAAGCATCTCTTACTATTCATATATCCTATTATCTCCCTTGATTGTTGAATTTTACCACCCACAATATCAACCTCACACTTTAGGCTGTTCTTTCTGCTCAGAAAAAGAAAATTAAATTTAATAATTCCGATAATCAACACATATTCCTCAATATACAATTCACTCTTCTTCTTTGTGCTGTGTTCCCTTCAAGATGTAGTCGATCATGATCCTCCACATCTTCCTGTCCCTTGTAGCTCTTCATAAATTTTGACTTTTTGCTATTTCTTCTGACCTGGCATCTCGGCTTCAGTCACTCTCCCATCATTGTTATTTCTCTGTGCCTTTGTTATAAATATTTTCATGGCAGTTGTTCTAATCAGTTTTCCTTCTCGTTACGTCAACCGCATGAATTTAAGCATACTACTAAATTGGCTATTAAGTTTCATCATTTTACTCTTGAAATAGATCTAACTGTAAGTTCCATTCCAAATAGAACTTTTCTCGCACTTCTCAGCTGTGAAACTCTCTTTTCATTTCTTGCTTCCCTGTCACTTGTAATCTTTAAAAGTTGAAATGCAACATCAATCACAAAAATTCTGTCTTCCCGATAGTTGTTCATTTATTAGCCTTTCTACCACCAAAAATCTTCTCATTCTTTTTCACTCCCAGTATCCTTTGCATCTTAGTGGCATTATCACCTTGTTTGGTGTGAAATGATAAAAAAAATACAAATATGCTTGGTGTTTTATTGAGGAAAATTTTTTTTTAAAGTTTTCTACCGGTATAAAAATTTGAAATGTAAATCCGGTGTGTCTGTCTGTTTTATTATCATTTTTTTTTTTTATATTTGCTGATGTTTTTATTTATTTTGCTTTTCCTGATTTTGAAGATTTGCTGAAGCTTTTATTTATTTTTTGGTTTCTACTGATTTTGCTTTCTTTTTTTTTTGTAACTTTTTATTCCAATTGTCTCTTTTGAAATCCCATTCCAGAAAGACAGTCAGAACCAAAAGTCTTTTTACTCCTTCAAAGCAAAGAAGACATATCAATATGATAAAGTTGCTTATTTTATGACATGTCCGCCAATCATAAAGCCAATATAATTACTATAATATATAATTTCTAATCGACTAGCCATTTCAACTGAACCCAATTGCATATGGCTAAGATTGACCTCTTTTTTTATTGAACTCCACTGAATTGATATAATGTGCGACCTCTTGTGAAAATATCAATATCAACATGGAATCAGGTAATTCAATTGCCATAAAATGGCTTACAAGTTGACCTGTACACATAGCATCAAATTTTCTTCTGTGTTGTGCTTTCACATCTGGAATAGACAGGTCAGCCAACCCACTTTTATTCCAGGTACCTTTTTTTAATTTTATTTTTCACTTTTTTCCAACCTGTCTATTTATTCTTACCTACATCTTTTTTTGTTTTGTTCTAAAATCAAATTTATTTTAAATGAATTTTCCAACCCATAATTTCATTTCAACTTGTCCTTCTATCATAGATTCAAGAGTATCTGGATATATAGCTGTATAGGCAAAAATTTTATGAGTATGCCTTCCTTGTTTTTAATCAATTCAACCTAAGCAAGGCAATAATGCCACTAAGATGCAAGCGGCTACTTGGAATGATGAAGAATGAAAAAACTTTAGAAGGAATCAGAAACCCAATCCTAAACAAGAAACAAAGGATAAACCTTTACTCAAAATATTGTAATTGTGTGTGCTTCCCAACCAGACTCTAACAATTACAATCTTTCTTACACCATTAAAAGAATGATACTTTGGATGAAAGATTTTTTTGTTCTTTGTGAGTGGTGACAGTAGTAGTATGTTGCAAATTTTGGAAACAGGTTTTTGATTAATTTGATTATGAGAGCATTTCGATTTTGAAAATGTGAGAACAATTTATACCCTTTGGAATTACACACCTGAATTTTTTTTTATTTTGGGATTTAAATCTGTCATTTTCCCACAAACTTATTATATATATATATATATATATATATATATATATATATATATATATATATATATATAGTAGAAGCATGGTGAAGTAATGGATAGCAACTAAGGGTGAGAAATTGAGAGCTGAGTTTGAATTCCATTTGAGTTCATTACATTAATTTATGTATTAATATCCTTGAGAAAGGTATGAATTCATCTCTTCTCCCGCCAGCTATGGGTAAGGAATATGACAGATAAGTTTCTATAGCCTTGGGTGGCAAGCAATCTTGGACAAGGAAACTTTGAATTCAAAACATGTGGAGGGCCATTTCACCTAACCTTAACCTTTGCACCAATTCTCTCTATTTGGCTCTTTCAAAAGGTGTGGTTAGTTCTACACAAGCCTTCACCTTTATAATTAAATGATAAGTACAGGTATATATGTGTGTGTATGTGTTTGTTTATTTATTTATATATATATATGTATGTAGTTATGTATGTGTAAGAGCAAATATAAGTGGTGGCAAAGGAGTAAGAAATAAAAGAAACCAGAGAAAAGTGAAACAATGAATTGCTTGATAATGAAAATTTTTAAAAAAAAAATAAAGTTCATTCTTCTTCATGAAATTTGTTTTAATCATGGTGTTATCATCTTAAAATCAGAATTAAAATTAAATTTAAATTATCTTAATGCCAAAATTTGTGTCAGAGTCATTTCTTTACTGATAAATAAAAAGAAAATTTACACCATAACCAAGACTTTCTTTCATTGAAAATAATTTTTCAATTTGTTCTTAATATTGTCTTAATATTGTCTTTTGATACATTTCCCTGAAATTTTGGGAGACATGATATATCATCAGTGATTCTCATTAGCAAGACATTCAAGATGTCTTCTTTGATGACTTTGAAGTCATCTCATTGAAAGGTATGCTCTTCTATACACACTGAATGGAAATTACCTAGTGATGGTGAATCATTCTTAGTGATGCTTGCATTTTTCTTATTTGGCTTCTGCAGCTGTTCTTTCTTTGGTCTCCATAGCAGCAGATTCTTCTCCAAGTTGGCCAGTCAAAGGCAAATTTTTCTGAATTTCATGGTAGAATCTCAAATTTCCTGAGGGTAGACTTGAGTTAACCATTTCTTCTTCAATCATTCCTCTCTTGCTCCTTCACTGAATTTGTTTCAAAATTCTTTCATTCTTCATTTTGAAAATGTGCAAATTGAAGTTGGCTGAGCCTGGCAGTAGTTTCAATATTCATTCACTTGACACATTCAAGAACATAATTTTTGTCCACTCAGTTGCCTAGGAATAACTATAGGTTTGATTAATGGAATCTGTCAAGGCTCTTGATGCTTCTAGAATATGAAGTCCATGTTTTACCTGATATATAATGTATGTTTCCATAAAATTTATAATCAGTAATATTTGACTATGTTTTCTAAAAACACTAAACCATACTCACCCATCTAGTAAAGACGTTAACATTGGTTGAACTTGGTTGAAAATATCATCTTGGCTATCATTGGGTCCATAGACTCTGTAAATAGAAAACATCAGATTTTTATCACTGAATAAAATCAATGACAAATAATATTCTCAGGAATCAGGAAATGTATAAGGATGATATTGGATTAGTGTAGCAATATAAGTCAGCCGAGGTTTTTTTAAAATTGAAAACAGCTAGACCTGTCACAGGAGTGGATTTATAACATTTAGTCTCTACTGAAGGTTACCAGTAAGTGAAGTCAGCTTCAAAGTCGAGAGCAAGAGGCTCAGACTGAGAGAAAGTCATGGAATGAAGATAAATTACTTTTTTAGACAAAGATGACAAGATAAAGAAAATTGTTATCTATAATACTGAAAAGGCACACACAGAGGAACAAAGTGGGCATTCGAGAACAGACAAGGAAGACAGCTGCTAGACTGTACAACTGTACCTCATCTCTAAATTGCTTACTTATAGTGGTAGGTTACAGCCCAATAATAAAATCTGGTTTACTACTAGAAATTTATTTGTTGTGGGAATGATCTGGCTGAAGGGTAATTTTTAAGACACAAGTGTTTGACTTTAAGAAGCTGCACCCTGTCAACAAACCTGGTGTCTGGTCTGAGCTTCAACACAACATTATATTCATATTTGAATTTTGGCTGGACAGGGTGTTCCTCATAAAAACTTCCTGAAGAAATAAAATGAAAAGTCATAAACATTTTGGAAATTCTTTGCCTTTGAATCTGAATCAAAGAAATGTTTCCATGAAGTAAAGATCATTCTGGACACTGATATTTGTTTGTCAAAGTCTCATCAGTTTCTACTCATTCCCAGTCACCGTTACCTTAAACTATTATTCCTTATTTTTCTTCAAGCACTATGAAAGAAAAAGAAAAATTATCTTCATCTCTATTTCTTGCATACATAAATGTTTCTGTATTGATATGCAAATAACTGCCTAATTTGCATAGCTTTACAATGATGTTCACTGTCCAAGGCTCAAGAGTCACACAAGGTAGAGGGTTACAGAGTAAGAGGCACCACCACAAGCAAAGTCATAATGTCACCAAGATGCAAGGAGCCGCCAGAAGTGAAAGAGAATGAAAAGATTATAGAAGGAACTGGATACTTAATCCTAAACAGGAAACAAGGGACCTGTTCAAAAGACTGGGAGAAGTGTGAACTGGTCAATAGGCAAATCCATTTATTCCTAAGGCATAGAGACTATATAAGTGCCCAAGCATTAAAGGGAGGAGCAGAATACGATTTGTGAGATTAATGGCTACCACTGGACTGAGAAAATATGAAGGACGTCACATTTCATAACACTATCTATTTTAGTTGTTGTTGCTGTTGTTGTTCATTGACCAAGTAGCTAGTACTGCTTTTGGTTGATAGCTTTCTCTTAAAACAATTTTTCAGGAAAATAGGTTTCTCAAGTCCAGTAGCTGTTATTGCTCTTTCCATTATTGATGGGGGTTTCCTTCCTAACCTTCTATCTGAAGTAGTGTGGAATGTCAACATTTTGATTATGTCATTATTTTCTCTTTGAGTTATGTGTGTTATCTGTAGTGATATGTAAATGACTGCCTAATTAGCATAGCTAAGGCATAAAGACTATATAAGTCTCTAAGCAGTATGGGGGGAGGTCACAATATGATATGTGATATTGGACTGAGAAAATACAAAGGAAATCTCATTTTACAACAGGTTCCTTTTATTTATATTATTGTCATTTTTTTTTTACTAAATGTTCACAGATGTCAGATTTTCAAGGTGGATATGCTCTGTTCTGTTCAATAATGCTTTTTACTAAATAATTGCCCCAATAGAAGAAAGCGCAAGTGGCACTCAAGGATTACTGAATGAGATTGTCACATGGATATAAGGACAGGAAGTAAGTGTAGAATTATGAGAATAGGTAGGATAGACTTTGGTTGACACTAGACTTGAATATGGTAAGATTATAGTGATTGAGGAAAAATCATCTTCACAGTATGTTCTTGAAAGTAGCAATTCTCATGAAGAAACTGAGTAGAGCTTCCTTCTTACTAATGGAATATAAAGGGAATGAGGATGATTCAATTCTGTGTGTGTGGCATGTTATTTCCTAGCTATAATGGTCTGAACTGATGATATTCTGGAATGTAACTTGTCTGAATATATATCAAGGAAAAAGACAATAGCAATAGAATTATTGTCCTCATCTTTGTTGTTGTAACCTTTGTAGTTTAATGTGACTGAAATACATATGGTGAAGGTCAGAGGGCATAATTCCCAAAGCATTGTGATCATAACAACAAAGACCAGAACAATCATCCTCATGTAAATAATGGTAACTCCTCATCCCAGTAGTTAAGTCAGAATTAGCAAAGGGCTTGTGAGGTTTCATCTGTGGGGAAAGATTCTGTAGAAAATAATTCATCACCCAAAAGTTTATATAAATGCTTCTGAACTCTCAACTTTGTCAAGGCTGGAAATTAAGGATTGTGCAGCTCCAGGCCAGGTATGGCAAAAATACTCCATTTTTGGTAAATATCAACATTATTATTACATATTAACTTGCGCTATCAATTTTATTTTTATTATTAAAGTTATTATCAATTTCTTTTTCGTGACAATGCTTCATCTAATAAAAAATGAAGATGAAAGTAAATACTAGTGAAAAATTAATAATAATGGCTGACAATGCTTCATCTAATAAAAAATGAAAATGAAAGTAAATACTAGTCAATAATTAATAATAATGGTTGACAATGCTCTGAGAAAATAAGATTGTGCACTTTTAGAAGAGTTTAGCAGAAAAAATTAGAAGAATTAATAAAGGCATACTGGTTAATATTGCCTACTCAGGTGCAAATGGTGAGCCCCACAAATGTGGTTTGTTTGTGAGTCAGGGAGAAGTATACTAACTGGAAAGATTCAGTTTTATTAATAACATGTTTTATCTAAAATCCATAAATATTCAAAGGAAATTATTTCCTTTAAGTCTTTTGAAAAATACTATATTGAATAAAAAAAAAGATGAGATGTTTTTATGTTCTCTTTGTTAAGGGACATAGATCAGATAAATTTTTAATATTCATTTTATTAGATGAGGATAAATCAGGAACATTTTTATGTACAATGTAGGTACGTCATGTAAAGTGCAACTCAGGAACATTTGGCTGGCACAGAAAGAGATACACACCTTTGCTTGGGACTTATGCCAATGTGGTCTGAAGGCACAACAAGTGAGTGATGATTGAATCCCTTGTTATTCAAATAAGTGCTTTGGAACTAATAAGAATCTTTGTTTAGAGACTCTCTTAGAAATTTATTATATTTTCTGATTTTGGGAAAAGCCAAGCAGTCAAAGAATGCAAGTTGGATTGTTACTACCCATGTTAAGATCACTGTAGGTTATTAATTGCAGTGTTAATAGCATTACTCAGACAATGCAGATTGATTTATTATGGCATTTTTTTATTATATCACCCCACGAAAGACAGTAAAGCCACTAAAACCAGGCATCTCAACTTCAGTCACTTTCTCAGGAACATGATATGGCTTCTTCCTGTCTTTTTGCTGCATCCTTAAAGAAGGTTACAAACAGATAAAGGTGGTACTCAAGTGAAAAGAACAGTAACACAGGCGTAGATGAAAGAAAGAGAGGTTTATTGTAAAAGAGAATACTCGACTGAAAAAAGGGAATTGATTAGCAGGCTAGTAATTCCCAAAGCAAGGATATTTAACTTATCCCCTCACGTCGTAGGATGCGGCACAAGATGTTTTTAATGAGGGGTTAAAACTGAGCCCATAGGCTCAGGCAAAAATTCCCTGTAGACCCTGTATACATGGGGTTGGGTAGCTGTCTACCACCCCAGATGAGACTGCTCTTTGGCATACCCTCATCTGGGTTCCTCTCTGCATTCAGACAGAGAGTTTGACCAGCACAGCTGGAGATGAATCTCCAACTAATTCCCAAAGCAAGTCTGCTAGGTATATCTTGTGCTTACAATATATATATATATATATATATATATATATATATATATATATACTGATATAGTCAGTCCACATATGTGATAGGGAGTGTGGGACATTCCATTACAACAATGGATCTACAAAAGTCTGGAGTCAGGATGCTGAAGGTAACATCAATCAATATGTATGCACACCATTTTCACCAATGTATACCTATGATAAAGTTAAATTGCTAGTATCCTCTGATGAGTAGACAGTGTGATTCCCAGAGGGGGTGGGTTGTATCCTTAAAAAAAGGTTACAAACAGACAAAGGTGGTACTTGAGTGAAAGTAACAGTAACACGGGCATAGATGAAAGAAAGAGAGGCTTATTGTAAAATAGAATATACTACTGAAAGGCAGGGAATTGATTATCAGGCTAGTAATTCTTGAAGCAAGTCCACCAGTATATGCTGTGCTCACTATATATATCTACTGATATAGTCATTCCACATATGCAATAGGGAGTGTAGGGCATTTCATTTCAGCACTTTTCTACAAATATTTTCATGGCAATTGTCCTGATGACCTTTTTTCTATGGTGCCCTGACTACATGAATTTGAGTGTGCTACTCGATTGGCAATTACGTCCCACTTTTTTGCTGTTAAACTAGCTAGATGCAACCACCACTTCTTCTCTAAGAGTTTCTTTTCATGCACTTCCCACCTATGGAATTTCCTACTGATTTCTTGCTTCCCTGATAACTACAATCCTTAAAAATTTAAATGCAATATCAATCCTCTCTCTTCTTGAACCTTGTTCCTATTTTTGTCCTTTCCTTAATCCTCCCTGTCTTATCTTTCACTTTCACTCCCTGCTTTCTAGTGGCATTATCACCTTGTTTCAGGTGAGATGATATAAAAACAAGACATAAGGGGGTTACTGAGTGTAAAAGAAAAGCATTATTAAGGAGAAAGGACAATACAAGACCAATCAAGAAGACAGCCAATAATGAATGATGTTGCATTTAAATTTTTGAACATCAAAATTGACTGAAAAACAAGAAGTCAGAAGAGATTTCCACAAGCAAGAAGTGTGAGA